GTGAAAGGTATTGTTTCTCTTAGTTCTGGCTCTGTATTCTTTTTGTCACGGTAGAGAAAGCCAACTGATTTTTGTATGTTGATCTTGTATCCTGAGTAGCCGAGCTCTTGACATCCTCACACCTCCTAAATGGGTTTGTGTGCCTCGTTAAAATATACATACTAAAGAAGCAACTCTGGCTTTAAAAACTCTCACTTTTAAAGAGTCTGAACTCTGGCTTTAGTCAGTGCTTCCACTCCCTGGGAGCCCTGGGGGTCTAGTACCTTCCAGGACATTTGCCACCCTGTTGCCATAATGGAGACGAGAATGGCCATCGCTTGCCTGGTCTCTGTCTCATTCAGGTAACTGGCATGTGGGTTGAACAGACTTGGAAGTGAAAGCAATGGCTGTTCCCCTGCCTCCTCTTTACCTAGAAAACATTGGAGTCTTTTGTGCTTGAGTCCTGGTGAGTGAGAAATGAGAATGAAACCAAGTTTATAGCAACTGATGTAAATTGGGTGGAAATCAGTATTTTCTCAGAGGCTAGACAATGTCACAATGGCATGTTCTATTAGGGGCTCTAAGTCACTCGCTTTACAATGTACTCAACCTCTGTTTTCTTTTCACAGGAAAAATTAACCCAAGAGTGTGTGTTCAGAGAACAGTTTGAAGAGAACTGGTATAACACCTACTCCTCGAATCTGTACAAGCATGTGGACACTGGAAGACGCTACTACGTCGCATTAAATAAAGATGGAACCCCAAGAGAAGGGACTAGGACTAAACGGCATCAAAAATTTACCCATTTTTTACCTAGACCAGTGGACCCGGACAAAGTCCCTGAACTATATAAGGATATTCTAAGCCAAAGTTGACAAAGACAGTTTCTTCACTTGAGCCCTTAAAAAAAAAAAAAAAGTAACCACTCTAAAGGTTTCACGCGGTGGGTTCCCATTGAGTAGCTGTGCCATCACATCAGCTCCACTGTGGCCAAACTTTGTCGCATGCATAATGTATGATGGAAGCTTGGATCGAACATGCTGATTTTGTTCTGCTCTTAACGGCTGGTCCTCTTAGAGGGTTGCCCCTGCCCACTTGCTTGATTTGTTGTGGAAGGAGTGGAGGGCAGAGACTGAGTGGGAGGGTGTGAGAGGGCGCAAGTGGATGGGGAGCAAGGGGAGGGAGAATGGAGAGGAGGAGAAGGCAGAGATGCATGCTGGGGAATAGACACGCTTTTAAATTTTTGATCCGTTGTCCTTCATCCTGTGTCAGCATAGCTGCCATACTTCCACTCATCAGGATTTTTGGCTGGTGGCCTGAGCAGGGGTGTACTGCATTTTCAAAAGGCATGGAAGATGCAGTCTTACTTAAAAAAATAATTTTTTTTTAAATTTTCCAGTTACTTCTCACTGGTGTCAGTCCCAGTGAACTTTAAAGCAAAGACCTCTTAGTAAAAGAAAAAAAAATAAAATGAAAAAAAAGAAAGGAAAAATGTTAAATTTATTTATAGAAATTCCAAAGGCAACATTTTATTTATTTTATATATTTATTTATTATATAGAGTTTATTTTTAATGAAATATGTACAGGCCAGATAGGCATTTTGGAAGCTTTAGGCTCTGTAAGCATTAAATGGCAAAGTCTGCTATGAACCTGTGGTGAATTCATGCAAGTAAATATAACAGTGCATGGATAAGAGAAACTCTAATGACCCTAAATGTACTCAAGGTGACAATCGACTCCGTGCCCATCTTATTGTAAACGTATGCACATCTCTCACGACACTGAGTTCTCACTCTCCAGACTGCTTGTTTCATAGCTTACCCCAGAGGATTAAAGATAAACTGGGTCTTGAACTTTTATTCTGTGTCTGTAATATTTCCTCTCTCATTCAGTGACTCACTCCATCGTTGTAACTTCATGGTTATGGAAACACTAAGGGTTGGTATATAGCCTACTTGTTGAAATCTATCGCAGAATATACCAAAGCTAAATGATATCTGCTTTTATTTCAGCTGAGCTCCAGAACAACAGGACTGACATCAGACATTGTACTAATTTAGAGTTCTCAAGAAAAGGAAAAGAAAAAAAAAGCTTACATAGCACTGATTTTTTTTTTTTAAGGGCCAAGGATCAGATTTACAGGATCATTCTTGTATACTTTTATTTGTGCACTTGGTTATCAGATATGAAATTATACAAGTCTCATAGGGGTCATTGTAACATCTTTTATAGAAAATTGCTTTCAGTGTGAACTGTCATAATACATGGTAATAGCACCCTTAAGGTAAAACTTACAGAATGAAACTAATAAATCTTTATCAATAATGACAATGAGGGGGAAAGTATTATACTTGTTGACTGTGTTTTGTTTTTCTAAAAAAGAGAAAATGGTCTTCATAAGCGCTCAAATTTTTTAGAGGGGAGCTTACTATATAGAATATCTTTTACAAGACTTTTATAACATTTTATGCTGGAAAGCAGAGAATACACATTTCTTTAGTAGCAATAATTTTAGGACTTGTCCTTGGGCAAGGGAGATTATTTCTTATTATATACTAAGGAGAAAAGAGCCAAATTCTTAGAGCAATATTTAAGAAAAAGGAATTTATAACAAAGTCTCATACCACTTAGGACACTGTCTACCCCATTTAGACTGGGGAACAGAAAGTGACAGTGAAAGAATGTTTTGGGACACAGACCACGAATTTTAGAATTTAATATTTTTACTTTGTTTTGCTCTGGTGCACATTCTCTATAAAAAGTAAAAGTATGTCACTGACAAATTGAGGCTGTTATGAGGGAGACACATAATTTTAGTCGTGAGCACACGGAATCTTTCAGTCGTCTAAGGCGGGGTGTGTCACAGCGCCCTCTAGCTGACGGGCAAGAAGGGAAAAAGACATCTAACATTTTGAATTTAAGATACCTTTTTAGAGGAGCAGCTAAGAGCAATGTAAAATAGCTGATTTGTGGGAAAGATATGACTGTCTTCTTCACTTATTTTCTTGGGATTTAAAAAAAATTTTTCTGAACAGAAACACTTTTAATTCTAACCAGTAGTATTCGTATTTATTATTTAACCCTTTGTTGCTGCTGAAATGTGCACAGATTCACATTTTCAATTTTCAAAAAAACATTTAATAATAATAAGGATTATTATTATTATTTTTGGGGAGGTGGCTGAAAGACATGAAACATTTGACCACAGGGAAGAATCAGGTTTTTAGAATATGATATAGATATGTTATAGATAATGATATTTAGCATGGAAGAAATGAATTTCAGAAGAGAGCTGAAAGTCACCTAACAGTAGTCTGAGAAGCTAGATAATCAGCATAAAAGAAAAAAAATTGTTAAAAAGACAGTCTCCATGCATTCTTAAAAGAATGTCACTTTAATGTCTGCTTTCAGAGTTCTTTTTGTTTTGGTACTTTTTTAAAAAATAAAAAAAGAAAAGAAAAATGTTATATACTCTTGACAATTGATACAATAAAATGCAATGGTCTGTAAATAAATAAATACTGACTTATGCAATTTATGTAAATAGGCATTATCCTGAGAATAGATGGCCCAGGGTCCAGTATGAGTAGTGCCCTGTGGGGCAGGACAAGGAGTATGTTTTCCCTGACGCTCCGAGGTTTGCATTTAGTTCTGAAGAGACCACAAACCCTAGTAATTGTCGCCTGACCTGCTGAAGGCCCAGGGGCAGATTGTCACATCCTTTGCAGCTAAATCATTACCTGGCTCATGCCAACACTTACATTTCAGTCAGAGATTTACTGGGGCCCAACTGAACCACCCTCCCATCTGTCACCTAAGTGTCCCCAAGCAGTGTTGAAAGCCAGGCCAGGTCAGTGTTGGGGACCCTGCCCTGCCAGGTCCTGTTCTGTAGAGAAACAAATGACTTCAGTTTACAGTGTTTTCCTTCTACTTCATCTCATCAACACTACGACCTTGTGTGATTTACTTGATAATCTGTAATTGTATGTAAATACATACACGATTATGTAATTTGTGTAAATACAGAATTACAGACTTTTGAAAACTGGTATTTTTTACTTGATGTCCATTTTGGAGCTGCTTCAGATGATGTGCCTACATGAACCAATGGAATTTAAAAAACATGTTCTCCTTGCTCTTACAGCTGTTGCATGTGTGTTGAGGGGATTTGGGGGGGTTGGCAGATGGAGGGGGGGAGGAACAGAATCATCCAGATGTCGTTTCTGTAAGCACTTGATGAAGAAGCAAGTAATCTGGGATGAAGATTTATGAACTCGCAACAAGCAGAACTCTGTGTGTGTGCGTGCACATTTACTTGGGTGGGTAGATAGACAAAGGAGTATAATCTGAGGTCAGATTCTGTTTGCTGTGTCACTTGACCTTGAAATGTGCCAAATTTAGATGTGTCTGCTACACCTGGTCACTTACATTAAAGAGTAATTAATTAAATACTGGGGGATTTAGGGCATGCCAGTTAGATTTTAAAGATACACACCCACTCCTCACTCACTGACATGGGTAGATTCTAAAAATCAGGTTGTTACATGAAAATTGGTGTTGTTAGCTGAGAATGGAGGGGGGGACTATGTCGTTACATAACGACTGAATTACATCAGTGCTGCCAAACACTGAGAATCATGGCCCAGCCAAGCTGACACATAACCTTAACCATTATGGTTACCCTCATTTCACGTGGCAGTGTTCATTATCAGATGTACATCATTAATAGCAAATACTTCACTATTGTCATAAGTGCAAAATGTTAGATAGTGAGATAGTTGATAAGTGAAGAGTAGGTGTTGATGTGTTGTTGTTACGTGCTGTCAAGTTGACTGGGACACATAATGACCCCTTATAGCTCTGAACCCTGCTCTGTCCTAGCCAGTCTCACTGCCTCTGACACACCTGCCCCCATAACCTCAGTTACTCTGTCAATCCATCTCATCGGGGTCTTCCTCTCCTGTGCTGTCTCTCCATCCTTCCAAGCATGATGTCCTCCAAGAACTGGTTCTTCCTGGCAACATGCCCAAAGTATGTGAGACAGAGCTTCAAAATCCTTACCTCCAAGGCACAATTTGGTTTCAGTCTCTCTAGGACAGACCCGTTTGTTCTCTTGAAAGTCTATGGTATGTTCAATTTCTCTAGCACTATAACTCAAAGCCTTGATTCTTCTTCTATCATCCTTAGTCCTTGCCTACTTCTCTGATGCATAGCAAGTAATTGTGAAGACCATGGGCTGGGTCAGGCACGTTTTAGTGTCTAGACTGACATCACTGCTCTTTAGCACTCTGGAGAGGTCCTTGACAGCAGATTTTCCCAATACAATTTGTCTTTTGATTTCCTAACTGCTGGTGCCAAGAGTGTTGGTGAGCAAAGGGAAATTGTGAACAATTGCTATCTCTTCTCCATCTATCACAGCTTTGCCCATTGGCCCAGAGGTGAGAATCTTTGTCTTCTTAATGCTGAGCTTCAATCCATACTGAAGGCTGAAGTCCTTGACCTTTTGCAGCAAATGCTTCAATTTTTTCAAGCAAGGTTGTGTTATCTGTATAATACAAGCTATTGATGAATCTTTCTCCAATCCCAAAGCCACATTCCTCCTCATAAAATCCAGCCTCCCTAATGATGTGTTCTGCATGTAGATTGAAAATGCATGGAAACAGGATGAATTCTTCATGCACTCTTTTCCTGATTATGAGCCATGCAGTGTTTCATTGCTCTGTTAGAAATGTGGAGTGTTAATCACTTATAAGACTAAGCTGTGCTTACACCCTTCAGTATATGTCCTGTTGTTGTTGTTAGATGCCATCAAGCAGATTAGGACTCACAGTGACCTTATGAACAACAGTTCTCAGCCCTGTCCTGTCTTATACCATTCTCTTCATCTCTGACATACTTGCCCATTGCCACAGTCACTAGGTCAATCTGTCTCTTGTAGAGCTTCCTCTTTTTTTTGCTGACCTTCCACTTTTCCAAGCATAATGACCCTCTCTAATGGCTAGCCCCTGCTGACAACATGCCCAAAGCATGTGAGAGGAAGCCTCAGCATCCTTGTCTCTAAGGAGCACTTTGGGTGCACTTTCTCCAACACGTACCTGTTCTTTTGGCTGTTCACTGCCTCTGACACACCTGCCCCCATAACCTCAG